ACAGTTAAATTTGGCGGCTAATTCCAGTGCAGTGTTAAAATATCACATAAATTTTGGAATTATTAGTGAACAAGTAATGCTTCTTATCTTTTTGAAATAGTTAAATTCCAAATTTGAACAATTTTTATTGTTCGTTTAACAATGAAATCGAAATCAAATAAAAAAAAAGCAATACAATACGAAGGCAGTGTTACCAATATTAATGAAGAAAATTCACTAACGCGTAATTATAATATAAAGGTACAAGTGATCATAAACAGAATAAATTTCTATTATTTGTGAATATGGTAAAATAAATAAAGAAATAGGTTGGATATTTAGGCTGGATATATTGTAAGCAGATATTAAGTGATAAATTATAATATGTTAACGAATGAAGTATAGACTTCTGTAAGGCATAAACAAGTTTCATTTGAATAAGTAAATGAATAAAAGTCGGAAAAAAGCGAATGATGTAACTAGTAATAGTCGAGAAATATTTGTAAGCATAAAGATTTTCTTCTCCCGGTACAGGTGAGCGATACACATCAAACAAAATGGACGAGTATGATAAGAAATTTGCTGAGATGCAAAAGTACATTCCGTTTTTGGAAGCGATGATAGAGCGACTGCAAAACGTTAAGGACAAATCGCGAGAAGTACAACTGCAGAAAATGCAAAGTCTACATGGAATCCTATCGAACAGCAAGAGGAAGTATGTTTCGCAGTTACGAAATAAAACATTCGCTTTTAATCAACGCAACGTTTTGGTGACATTCAGTGTCTATGCGCTGAAACTTAAAATTTTAAATACAAAACCGATATCAGACAGAATTCTTTTAATTTACGCTTTTAAGCTTTCGAACTTCTTAATTTTGTGGTATCGAATTTTCAAACTTTTAAGTTTTGAATTTTTGAACGTTCAGATTTTTTAATTTTCTTATTTCTACAATTTTTATTTATTTTCATAGAGAACGAAATTTCCATCTGCTTACATCTTTTATTACGCGTATTTTACGACAATATTATTATTGCAAAAACTACGAAGTATGCAATATTGTCATAAATCTAGAGTTACATTTTAAACCGGAAAGGCGTAAAATCCAAAATACAATTAATCATACTGTTATCGATAAAATAGGCTGAAGATTGAGACGTTGCAGCGATGCGAAGACGTTCTGCAGAAGTTACACAACAAAGTGGAAAAGGTAGATATATTGATCATCGTATTACAAACTTGTCTTATATTTTTGGTGCACTGAATTATTTATTTAAAAATCTTAATTCCTAAAAGAATTTTAGCTCTATTTTTTAGCTTTAGAATTAAAGAATTTTAGCCAAATCAAATTACTATTCAATTTACAGATTCAGTGAATCAAAAACTAGCACTTGGCTTTATGCTCTGTATGATACTAGTTTGCACTATATTCACAGAAGAAAGATATAAACGAGAATGTTTGTAAGTTCTTCCGTTAGTTCGAATACTATATGTATATGTATAATATATGAATGATAACTATACATATGCGCATTAAGATTTCTATTTATACAATATTTAAATGGACGTATCAATATTTTAAAAACTGAAACAATAATGAAGAAATAATAATATTTCTTTAACAAACGGCTCTTTTATATTATTTCATATGCCGCATTTCAAATGCCGCGGGTATTGTCACCGTGCTTTGATAGAGCAAATTATAACTGTTGCATCGTTCTCCTTATCTTTTATATTTTATCAGTAGAAACTGGGTGTTCACATTTTTACGAAATGTTTTGTATTGCATTCTGTACACCGCTTTTTTCCAATGGCATTTCTATGATTTCATTATGTAAAAAATGTTAAAAATTAGTACTATAAAAAATTTATGGAATTTATTATGAAAATTTATGGAAATTATTTATAACTGTAATATGATGTAAAATATAAAAAATATTATACATTATTAGTCGATGTTTGTAGAAAAATGGTCAATGTACAATCATTACTTTCTCTTTGGTTCCTCCTCTTTGAACAGACGTAGTTGCTTCGAATGATCCCTTTTTATTTTCTGTTCTTTATACTTCTGGATGTTTTCAGGCTTCCGTAGTGCATGTATTTTTTTTGTTATTTTAATCATTCTAATCTGACACGAGTTTCAGGGAAATACGCCCGGATTGCATTTTCCGCACAAGAAAAATGAATCTAGCTCAGCACAATGTTCAAAGTAAGTATCATATCACTCACACAATTTGTACAAAAATTCATTTAACAACTCTTCATATATAACTTTAAGTTCATCATTATGTATTGTACACAATATATCGATGTATTCCTAAAATTAAAAGTAAACCAAAACCTATATTCAATTTTGTAAAACAGTGATGTTCACTGTTCATAATTTGAACATCGTTGTTAAGCAGAAATTTCATTGTACTATTATTATTATATAACAGATAATATATATTGTTGTAAAATGAAATATTACTAAGATAAGATATTGTAAAACGTCGATTGAATCCCTTTCAGTATACTTGAAGATGTAAAGCCTCATACAGAAGATGTTATGGAGGACCGAGAGATCCACGAGACGCCAGCCAGTCCAACTCCTCCGGTTAGCCCAGACTCGGGTTCTCAAGTGGCGCCGATAATAATTCCTACTGAACGCAGTCTAGATTTCGATGACAAATCTGACAGCAAACCAGCCTCTCCCGACCCCATAGAAACTTTACCAACCAAAGATCCCATCATCATACCTACAGAGAGGACGAGTAACGATGTACCTCCCTCGCCACAGAGTTTGTGTAAAAACGCGGATAATGTATCGTTCGCCGAATGGGATATGCTCGAGGAGAACGAAAATCACATCTCGAGGAACAAAAATTGGCAGACGATCATTACTTCTAGCCACGATGGTGTTACTGTGTCCAAGATGGTTGAAAGTAATCTGTCTCCAAAGGTGAACGATGGCAGATCTCACATGCCTATATCGATTCACCCGTCTCGACAAATACAAACCGTGCCAGTCCCCTCTTTGGGCGGTTCCAGAAGATTGTCGTCGATATTAGAAAAGAATCGAATGATGGGAATAAACATGGATCAGGTTTCGTTAGAATCTAGCCCTGAATCACCTGTTAATATGCCTGATGCACAGTTGAAGTCACCAGATTTGGAGATTTTGTTCCCAAAACTTTGTAAGAACACTTCACTTCGGTCAAAGGAAATTTCGAGGCCTGGTTCCAAACCATCAGCACCATTGTTGCTCTCACCACCTCCCGTTTCTACAGGACCGCCATTGTCCATGGAAGATCTGGCTGAGCTGTTGAACGAAGAAGATGATAGCAAGATGGAAAAGAAGGATGATAGGTTAAGAGAGGATTCAGGTAAATTCAAGAAGGATAAACAGGAATTAGGTGGGAATGTTAAGGATCCAAAGACATCTAAATCATTTCTGCTAACACAAGAGGATATTGATAGCGAGAGTGAGAGACGTTGGGAAGAGATAGACAAGCATATAGTTAAGTTAACCAGTAGGAAATGTCTACCCAGTGGCTCAAAAGTCGATCCTCTCAAGTCTGGTGAAACTAAGGGATCACCTCAAGGTAGTTTAGGTCATGCTTCTAGTTCGTTTATGGCTACTATGTCTGTCGACAACAGAAATGTACCATCTTCACCTAGTTCCAAGACAGAGCCTCGTTTTGCGGATAACTACGAGCGCCATCCTCGCCAGTTGCGTGACAACCAGGGCCATGATATGGACAAATCTAACGTGCACAACATACACTGTCGACCCGACGACGATATGTCCAATCAGATACATCATGGCAGTTCGGTCAAGCCGGATGACAGAAACACTGTGTTGTATCAGAGACGTCAGGGGAACATTGGACCTGAGATGGTACCACCTAGGATAGACACTGAGTTCAGAATAGAAGGACCCGAGTACTTCAATAGACAAGTAACAAACCAAGGCCACTGGCCTTCCATGCACCCGCCCGTGAATACGAATGATTATTGCAACAACCAGTGGCCATCGTCTTCCAATTTTAGCGGTATGCCTAGTTCTCCTGCCCAAACGTATCCACATCCGATAGGTATGCCACACCAAGAGATGTGGAACGTAGGTGCCAATAGAGAGACCATTCATATGGATCCTCATCAAATGAACGAGGGCCAGATAAGGCCTAACCAGTTCCCTCCAAACATGAATGTTGGTATTAGACCTCTAATGAGTCCCAATACGAGATCTCAGGATATGAATCATATTCCACGATCAGACGATATATCCAATATGGACGTACCTAATGTACCTACCATACAGCCTTTAATATCACCTACGAGGTTTCCTGTTGGGTCACAGTACAGGAACTTTCAGGGAGAGAATAGGCCTTATGAGCCGCCTTTTGATAGAGGAATGGAATATCCTCACCAGAGGCAGCCATGGGATTCTCCGATTAACCGACCAAATGATGTACCATATAGACCAGAGAACGAAGTTCCTTGTGGTGTAATGGGGCCTACAGAAGGTCCTTCAGGGCCGTATCCGAGGCCCAGCACTCCCTGTCCGTGGAACAGAGACAGGGACCGCAATGGTAGAGGGCGTAACACGTATTACAATGAAAGGAATAGAGGAGAATCTAGGAATAATTTCAATCGTGATACTCGTAGGCCTGGTCCTAGGGACAATCATGGTGAGCGGGACAACTGTAATAGGTTCGGTAGGGATGCTAGAAACATATCTGACCGTGATCCAAGAGTACGCATGGAACACAATGTAAATAATCAAGGCTCCAACCAGTCGAGGGATAATGGTACCTCGGTGAGAGATCCTCGGTTGGCTAAGGATAAACATTTCCCATCTCACAAAGGTAAAGATAGTAGTTTCAATGAGAGAGATCCCAGAAAACGTTCGACGGGACCAGCGACTGCAACATCGACGTTCAGGAAGATCAAGGAAAAACCGAAATCTCCTCCAAAGCCAGTTGATAGCCATAAACGTGTGGACACGGAAAATAGTACTAAACATACACAAGAGAAGACAACTAAAGACAAGATGCAGTCACCTTTGGAGAGTTTGTACGGAGTTATCGACACGAAGGCAAAGTCTGCACAAGGCTATTGTTTACAAAATTTTAAGATCCCTAAAATAAAACGTAACGAGTCATCAGAGTCGCCCACGTCGAGTCACATTTCTGAGGAAATTAAAGAGTGTCCTTTGGAAAAGCAGGATAAAGCAAGTAAAGCTGCTAAAAAAGACAAGGAAGACACAACTGCGGAAGTGAGCAGTAGCAGCGATAGGAATGTTCCGCTTGAAAATTGGAATGAAAGTAATATAGTCACTGATAAAAAAGAGGAATTGAAAGAAGATAACAGTTTCAGGGAGACTCCTGTAGAAGAGAATAGTGATGTTAATATTTCTGAATTAGATTTTATCAGTACTACCTCCTCCAAATTACCTGATAATATTGAGAAATCTAAGAAAGAAGAAATAGAGGGATCCAAGTCAAAAGGCGAAATGACTCAGGAATGGATAGAAGCTCTAATTAGAAAATCGTTTGAATTTGGCGAGGGAAAGAAATTCGTCGAACACGCGAAATTCATGCAGAAGCTGGGAGAAGTATTGCAGGCGAAGAAGTTGAAGAAGATCAAGAGGATCATTGAATCAGAATCAGAGAGTAGCAGTTCGGATAAAGATGATACTCCTGAGACGAAGAAAGTTCAGACGAGGAAGAAGCGACGAGTAATTTTTTCGGATAGTTCCGATGAAGAGTCTCTTGCTGAAAGGCTTGATATTCTAAAAACAGCGAACAAAGAATTGATTACAGGTACATCAATGGATAACCAGGAAGAAAAGACAAATACAAATATTGTGAAAGTAACTCCTAATATTGAATCTTCAGATCTTTCAAAAAATGGACCAGATCCTGAAAATGTTACCACTAAAGAAGAGATTGCACGTGTAGAAACGCAAAACGTTGCTGAAGAGAAGAAGGAGTCAAATGAAGATGAAATAAATATAGACAAGGAGAAAAGTGTTCCAGAAACACCTAAAGAGATTACCAAGGATGAATTGGCTGAAGATAAAGAGGTTGTTTCAAAGATACCAAAAGCCAAAGCAAAGAGGAGGAACTCCCTGGAGATGTTGCAAGAAGATATTAGGGAAATGTTCATCAGTGATGATGTTGTGGCAGCAACTGGTTATCGATTATGTAGAGCACAAAAAGAAAATCAAAATAATGCAGGCACGAGTACTCCCAATCAAAGTACTACGAGCATAAAGAAGGACGAATCGAATAAACGTGATTTGGATGTAGATTCTGATGTAGAAGACACTGTGGTTTCGTCCAAGCAAAAAAAATCTACAAAATCACGTGTTTCTGACGAATCAAGTAAGTCTAGAGGTAAATCAAAGAAAGAGGTGCAAAGAATCACTAGACAACATTCAAAACAATATAATCAAAGTTCAGATAGTGAAGAGGATCAACCATTGGCGCTGAGAACAGAGTTAATTCAAAATTCTAGTTCATTGTCTAATCAAGAAACATCTAATGAAGATTTTGAGGTACTAAGGCGAAGCAAACGTATTAATAAGGAATCGATAAAAGAACCACGAGTAGTAGTTGAGAAGACAAACATTTCTAAGTTGGAATGTTCTAAAGTGATGTTCGATAGCTCATCTGATGAGAGTTTTGGGATAGATGTGTCTGAACTGGCTGCAGCTGTGGACATCTCAATTCATCCTGATAAGCAGTCTGAATCTGAGGCAGTAGAACAAACAGAGAAGAAGAAGGATGTTCAAACATCTTCTAGAAAGTCTACAAGGAAGAAAGGAAACGAACTGCTGAATGAAAGTAAAGATGATGTTCAATTTACTGATGAAGAAAGTATTACATCTGATATTTCTATGTCGAGTAGCGTAACTTCTAGCAAAAAGACAGGCGTTATTTCAACTACAATGGATACTAGTGGTAATGAGAAGTTATTGAGTAACATATTAGTGGGATTAGTACCAGTAAAGAATGATGCAGATAAGGACTCATCAATAGCGGACAAAGGAAGCGACGCAGACGTCGATGATGATGTTAGCGATCAATTACCGGCTGAATCAAGTACGAAGAAGTCTTCAGCGAAGAAGAAGAAGAAAAAGTATAATTGGCAGATGGGTATTTTGTACAAAAAAAGAAAGAAGAAGACTCTTACAGCTTCATCTTCCAAGGGTGACTGTGAGCTTAATGCTAGCTCTGAAATAGATATTTCTAACAAAGGAGATACTATTTCAGAAAATACAACAAGCAAAAACAGTAGTTCACCCAATAATACAAAGCAAAATATTTCCAAGAAGCTTAAGAATGATGTTAAAGATACTAATTCTAATGAGATTCTTCAAGATAATTCGAAAGACAAAAAAGAAGAGGTATCCATAATAACATCTGATCCTACAGAGAAGAAAAAATCTTCTTTAAGTAAAGTTTGTTCTAATGAACAGTTATTGGAAAAAGATAACGAACAAACCAACCGTAACGTTGAAAAGAACGTCGTTAAAAATAAAATTGATCTAGATAGATCTTTTTCTGATTTAGATGTAAAAAAATTAATTGATTATGCTTGGACGGGCCAAGAAAAGTATAATTGTCTGCTTTGTTTGTTCATTGGTAAAAATATTGTTCACCATTACAAATTAAACCATCCTGGAAAGGAAATTCTGATTTCCAGATTGAAACAGTCAGATGCTCTATTAGCCATTCAAGATGCGAATGACAATAATGTGGAAAGTCCATCAATGGAACCTCTTGCAGAAAAAATCTGTAAATTTCGTTGCAGATTTTGCTTTTTGTTCAGTGAAGGAGCTGCCAAGATTGCAATGGAAGCATTTTATGAACATTGTACTACTCACACAGGAGAATACAGGTTTCGATGCAATAGTTGTCCTTATCAAACTGTAGCCAAGTCCTCCATGAGAACTCATTATTATAAAGTATGTCGCAAATTTAAAGATACTTTTGTTGAAGCCATAACTGAAGATGAAATACCTACTGAAAATCGCATTTATGGTTATTTATGCTCATGTTGTAATTTCGTTCAATTAAAGAAGTCCAATGTGGAGGAACATGTTAATCTATGGCATAAGGACGATTTGAGTGTTAAGATTGTTAAGATAAACATGTCCTTAGATGCAGTTGAAGAAGAATTTGATGAACAAGTTGATGTACCAGAGAAAAAGATAAAGCTAGAAGTAACCCAGTCAAATTCAAAGAAAGGATCAGTAAATGAAGTAGTAAAACTGATTGAACAGAATGACGATGATATCACTGAAATAGAAGTGATAAAGAAGGATAAAATGTCTGATGACGGGGATAAGAAAATAAAAGATGTACCTGAAGTTAAACATCAAGAAGAGAATCATTCTGAACCACAAGTTACTACTGATGATGAAAACAAGAAACCACCACAAATGGATATGGATTCCAATTTACCATCAGGAAATCTGAATGTATTCGTTTGTCCACCAGAGTTGGAAAAGAAAGAAGTAGAAATTCAGCTCGAACGTAAGAAAAAAATGCAAGAAATTATTCAAAACATTGGCATTAAATTACAAAGGGACGCATCTAAAAAAGGTTTGTCCATTATAGATAAATTGAAGGATAAAATGAAGACTGATTTAACAGCAGCAAATAACGAAACTGATTCAAATGTAGTATCGAATTCTTCAGATAAAAGTCCAATTAATATCACGACTTCACCGACTCCATCAATGCCACCTCAAAGTAATACCACTGAATTGCCTTGTAACTCTGAAATTCCTTCACTGGTAGATTCAGAGAAAAATCTATCATTGGCTGAAGGAACTTCAAATGATAAACTTGAGGATAGTACTTCGCAAAACCAATCATTTAGCACAAAATGTAATTCAAAGTCTACATCTGAAACAAATCTAACAAATTCAATGACCAAGGTTCCATTGGCAATATTGGATACAAAGAAGAATGAAGAAAGCGATGCAGAAACTAGTGATAATGAGAATATGAGGCATAGTGCTCCCATTTATGACTCTGATTCTAGTAGCGAACAGTCAGATAGTGAACTGCCTACTGATGTTAACATGATCTTGAAGGAAACTTCAAGTATGAATGCATCTTGTAAAGATCCAATGTTTACCACTATACAGAGACTTGCTGCTCAACTTCAAGCTACAAAACAAGATGAAACTTCTTCTAAACCTGAAGACTCTAAAAGATCGTTTCCTTTTGGTTCTATTCCCAAACCACCAGATGTTGTTCCTATATCTAGTATTAAAAAATTTTTCGGGAAAAAGGAAAGTAGATTTCACGAGATATCGCATGATTCGCACGACGATAGTAATCCACCTAAGAACTTGATCCGTTTGAGACGTCTAAGTGGAGATATGTTGTCGGTACCCATGCAGTTGTTAGACGCCCAAGAAGATCTATCTCTAATAAAGAACGGTATGTATAAATATATAAATACTAAAATGATATGTGAATCATTGTTTGACATTTACGAAAGTATTTCATATATTAGATGCGAGTCAATCCAGTACTTCAGATACAACGGATTCCATGTTAAAATCAGATGTTGAAGAAGAGTGTTCATTCTTGAAAATCGAAAATGTAGTTAGTCTTGCACCAAGAGCTGATGGCGCCGAAAGTCCCATTGTAAGTCATTACATACGATATTTACTCGAAATTTTTTCACTTGTTTCAAACTATGCATGTACAACTTTCCTTTTATTATCATTACAGATAAATGATATAAGAAAAGCAGTTGAAATTGTCCCCAAAGATACTCCTATAAAAAGCAAGGGGGTATCTTTACTGAAAAAGTCTAATTCGCCTCTAATTTTAAAGAGATTTAATGCTGTATCTATCACGCAGACATTAACGAGGAATATACAGACAGTGCAATCCACACCAGAAAAAGTAAAACTAATTCCAGTGAAGAGTCTATCCCCTTCTCCAGTTGTAACCACCACACAGCTTACCACCAATTTCATTCCAATTGCTCCAAAATCAACAATTATTCAAATAGATAGTAAATTGCCTTTAGTGACTCCATCGCAATCGTCGCAGAATTTGAATTACAAAATCGTCAAACTTGTTCGAACGCCAGCTCTAATAAAACCAAAAGAACCTTTAGCCACAGTCTCGGCAGTTAAATTAAAATCCGCGGATGCATACAAAGCGATGTTGAAGGCTACTAAATTGATTCATTTGTACAAGTGCATGGCACGTGATTGTCGCTTCAGCACTGATGTATTGTCTATATATCATCAGCACTATCTTCAACACGTAAATCAAACCGAAAATACGACGATGCCACCGCCATTTGATTACCAAAAATGTGCCTATTGTTACATGATATTGGAGGATTGGAATCAAATGAAAACGCATATCGATGAAAAACACGCGCATTGCCGTTACCAGTGCATGTACTGTTTTTATAGAGCTATTGTACCTTCTTACGTGCAAATACATCAGGTATGACGATACATTTTGTAGTATTGTAACTTTTGGGGCAATTAATTTTTATGTTTGACACACATTTGATTTTTATTTACAGATAATGATTCACCCTAGAAATCGTGGTCTTCTACTTGGTAATCCCGTGAAAGAGATACCATCAAAAGAAGAAGTCAATCGACACGACACCATATATCCTTACGTGTGCCAACATGGTACGATTTATATTTACATTATTTGTCTTCTTTGAACGGAGATTACGCTATTTATCATCTCTGAATGAAAAATTAAACTCATGAAAATACATTTACAGATTGCGGAAAGTTTTTCTTTGTTCCCGAATCTTTTATAGCGCACTTGAAAAATAAACATGGAACGCTTCTTTCTGGCTATAAGTGTCACGTGTGTCGTACTACTTTCATGAAAATCGATCAATTAATGACGGTAATATTCTTAAGTCATTTGATTAACGGTTACTAAATTTTTATAATCATTCTTATGAAATTAAATCTTATAGCACTATAGAACGCATGGGTTTTACAAGTTTCAATGTCTGTATTGTTTGAATGGTTCGGACCACTTAAGCGAACTGCATAATCATTTGAGCACGTTTCATTGCAATCGATTACCACAGGTTCTTGAGCGAACTCTTCCTCTTCAGGTAAAATAAATAAATGTCAATGAATTAAATTATAAATAAACCAATATTTTATGAGTGTCATTTTAAATGTTACATTTCAGCCAATACGAAACAAAGACGTAATGGAACAATTAATTATAAGAACATTGGATGACACTTTGAAAATCACAGAAGAAGTGATTGACCTGGAGAACGAAGGCGAGCACAATAAAGAAACTGATACAGACATTGTTAACACGTCTTCGTCTCCCGCTATAGTTTTTCCTCAATTATCTAATGATGTAAATTTGTTGAACAAGGACGAAAACGAGGCGTTAAATAAATCCTTTTCGAGGTTATTTGGAAATGCCAATAATTCAAATAGCTCTCTCAATGCTAAAACCTCACAACATGAAAAATCATTAAATGAGAGTTCCAACGATAGTGCAGTGAGCAAGATATTCGAAAGTTGTTTAATGGATGACTCGGACGTTTTGGCAACGCAGGTTTCGGATGGAGAATCCGCAGACAAAAGTTTATTAGATAAATCTAAAAAGACCAATATTCTCACTGACAAAAGCTCTGTGGAGCCAACAGAAGCTTCCAAAGGATCTTTTGATTGCAGCGACGAATTTATAAATATCAATTTACTGGACAACCCTGATTTCCTGAAAAAAGTCAATCATTCTATTAATATAACTCGCATGAATACTTCATCCGCTACGGAATGTAAAATGGAAGATAGCGACATTGAAATTGTAGATATCGACGATACGGAAGTTATTCCAATAAAAAATATAAAATCCGAATCGAACAAAAAGGATAGCATTGACGTAAGTGAGATACAAAATATAAATCCAAAAAAGGATGTAAAAGAACAATCTTCCAGTGATGTCAGAGATTCAATCGCATCTTGCGATGCTAAAGAAGATTCCACCATGAAAACAGATAAACCTTTAACTCTAGATGATATTAAAGACACTGGCTTCTCAGGGACACAGTTATACAAGTGCGGTTATGAAACTTGCGATTATAGCTCACAAACTGCTCTTCAGTTAAAGACGCATGTAAAAGAATGTTCTTTGAGGGGTGAGAATAAAAACTTGACCTGTGCTCATTGTAGCAAACGTTTCTTGAAAATTGGATTTTTATTAGAGCATTTAAAATCACATGGACTAAAGCGATTTGGTTGTTCATTGTGCAAAATGAGATGTACAGTGGGTTACCAAGCAATGGCGCATATGAAGATGAAACATAAATGTGCATATAGTAAATTAGTTCCGGCTGATCCAAAAAATCCATCCGTTGATGGGTTGTTCATCGTACAACCTATTGTAAGTACATTTTATACAGTATGTCGCAAAAGCACAAAATTATATGTTTATAAATATTTTGTTTATTTTTGTGCAGCGTTACAATGGAGATCGTAAAGGAAAGAAGCGTAGAAGTAATACAAAGTCAAGTGAAAAAGGCACTGAGAAGGCTACAACAGACACTGAGAAATTCAGCTTCAGTCCTGATGAAATAGATTCTTTGCCACTTCAAGCGATCTACAACCGTGTAGTGCAATGTGCAGTGTGTCCATACACGACGAAAGTGCGTACGAATATCATCAGACACTTGCGATTGCATGCAAAAGATGAAAGCGTGCCAGAAAGTGGTCCCGTTAATCCTGTGCCGTGCTTGGATAAGAAGGAACGAATGTTTGATAAAATGGTCAACTTAGCAAGTAGTTCTCATCAAAATGGTCGGATGGGAGGGAAATCTAAGGAGACTAACAAAAATAACGAAGATGAGTTCATCCCGAAATTTGTACCGGAGCATAAGAGGTAGGTATACTTTTTAAAACCGGATGTTATAACAATATGGATGTTCTTGCAAGAATGAGAGTAATTCTTGTCACACGCAAAAGTGTTCAATATTTTTTCACTTAATTTGATGAGTTTTGAGTCGAATCGAAGGAAGTGAATCGAAGGATGAAAATTGGCAATGTTTTCCTATAATAGATACGTGTGTGGTGTAGCTGAATGCAATTATTTAACGGTCGATGAGGCGATGTTACGATGTCATTTAAAGGCTTTGCATTCCGAGGAACAATATTTCCGGTGCCCTCATTGTCCACAACCACCACCAGGTCAAGAAGGATTAAATATAGCAATTGATAAAATGGCCGTTCATTTAAAAATGCACGATACCAGACTTTATAAATGTTCTCACTGCAACCATCATCATTATCATAGGTACACAATGATGTTTATGCCTCACATTTGGTTAATAATGCACCGTTTGGGTCACAGATTATAAGCACGATGTATTTAAAAATTAGATGGAATAATATATTTTTGAAACATTTGACAAGAATGCAAAGTGAATGTTAATAAAATATACATTGCATGTGCCTGTCAAATGTTTAAAAAGGCTTATTCTCTTTGGTTCATTTTCTATGCTTCCTAATAGTAACAAAATATTGCCTAGGCACGTTGTGGAGAGACATCTTTCTGACAAACATCCCGAAAAAAGACCTTTTGTGAAAGTAATTAGAGAGTTGGAAAACACAGAGGGCAGTCAACAATCCATACAAGAAGAAGTCAAAGAGGAAGTACCAGATCCGGATGGAAATCATTGGAAATGTAACTTCTGCGACTATAAGTGTGTATATAAAGCGGAAATGGCTAATCATACGTCTGTGACACATGATGAGAAGAGCCAATACAAATGTAACTCGTGTTCCTTTAAAACAAATGGGAAAATTATGTTAGAACAACATATTAATAGCAAGCACCCTAACGATTTAAATGTTGATTATATTTTAATGTATCAACGAATAAAAGGGGTGAATAAGAAAAGTACAGATAATGTAGAGCAGACTGGACAAGAAGAACCTTTTGATACTACTCCGCTTTGGAGAAGAGACATGCCTCGAATTAGACATATTCGCGGAATCCTTCTTGAAGAAGAAGACGAAATGTCCACTGAATCTTCTTTAAAGTTAGGAAAACGGAAGAGTGACACAGACTTAGTCACTAAACCGGCTAAAATAAAGCCGGGGAAATCCAATTCATTAGATGACACCAAGCAGACGAAAGAAAAATCTAAACGGTCGTTGTCTTGTGACAAGGTATCGACGGAAGTGGAACCTGCGACTAGTACGTCGAATACGACAGAAAAAGCTAAGGAAACTAGATCTAAATCAATTGAAGACAACGATTTCAGTGAACCGGATATCGGAAAATTTGGTCCTTATGGGAAAGCAGATGGTAATATGTATGTCTGTACTTTGTGCACGCAGTTCAAGACAAAATATAAGCATGATATGAGGGATCATCTTTACAGAGAATTGAATTACGCAAGGTAAATACTTTTATAGTTTCGTTCTGTTATTTCGAAGTTATATTTTTTCTTTATTTAACCGTTTGAGTATCAACGGCTGTTTAGATTTTGTGTCGAGAAGTCCCAGTACATTTGAACGCTACGGACGATTGGCGGAATTTTGTATTTCATTGTTATCTTCTCAATCATTTTTATTGAACAAAACTTGAAATATTTATAAACTAATAGTGCGCATATGTAATAATATAGATGTATTTCATAAAAATAACAAATATGATGAGCGCTATTGCGCCGCTTGTTTCTCTTCGCAATCGATTAAGACAAGCACTATCGCGCTGTTCGGAATTTTTCGACCTTTTTTTTTTCAAAGACCTCTGGGATTCAAATGGTTAATATGAAAATATTTCAGATGGCACTGTAAGGAATGTGGATATTTGTCTGTAAACCGTAATGCCTTGTTGAAGCATTTTAATAAACACCATAATGGGGAACGTCATAATCACGAACCATTATCTCCAGACGATGATATCGAAGAATGGGTAAGTTAGTCGCTTGACAAAAATTATATTATTAAAAATTGATGAAATTATACAATAATTTTAAATGTATTTTTTTATTGATTATTTTAATGTGTAGGTTGGCACATTATTGAAGAGACAAACACTGATGATGAAGGGACTATTAGCCAAGGAACATGCAAGTGACGCAGAATGTTCTGCAACTACAAGCATAGCTGGAAATAATTCAAAACCATCTTCTGCTAAAACTACCCAGAATACCGTAACCAAAATTCTTAAAACTGGAAATACTGTTAGCAAGCCTGATAATAAGCAAGGCAACAAAGAACAAACTCCAGAAAACACCATAAAAGTGCAAGCTGAGGATAACAAGGATGATGCAGCTCCCATTACCGATGTAAGGACTGAGAGTGGATCCCTGAAGAAGAAACCTGGGAAAATTACTGATATAGAGAAAGGTAAATGTCTTCAAATAAAAAGAAACTCTTATGTGATCAAATTTTGTTTGCGTTTTACTACCTCGTTTTGTTGGGCAGACTATATATAAAATTAATTACAACTTTTTATATAGGCAAGCCAGATGAAGAGGAAGAGAAGCCATTCACCTGCAAACATTGCAATATGACATTCTTCCGACGGCGTGGCTTCAAACTGCATGTACAATTGACACACTTAAAACGACTTGGATTTATCTGTCCTTACTGCGATCGTAGCACGAACTCAGAGAGTTTAATGCGACAACACATTCGTTCAAAGCATCCCGGTTGTCCCGAGAAAATAGTTGAAAATCCGGCAGCTGGCGGACCAGAATTGCCGGAAGAATTTTGGCGACAGGAATACGGAATCGTGTTTCCAAAGAGGAAAAGAAAACGAAAGACACAGATGAGTGGAGGAGAAGTCACGGAAAAAGCTGATGATTTCAATATTGAACCGCAAGAAAAGTGCAACTTGTGCAACTTTACCGCTATGAATACGACTGGCCTCAAAATACACATGAGGATACACATGACTAAACATATACTGAAATGTTTTTATTGTAGTTTCACTGCAGCGACAAAGTCGGAAATCTGGGAACATTGGGAGGTCAATCATCCGTTTTCGCCATTTAAAGTCGAAGACATATCACCATCTGAATCGTCTAGCGAATCTACAGAGATGGAGCTTGATAATAAGGCTATCACTGAGGATTACAACAATGATATAGAGGAGGAACAGATTTCTGACGCGAGAGAAGATGATTCGATTTACTATTGCCATTATTGTTCCTTCCGTAGTAAGTATTTGAGCATGGTACAGAATCATTGGAACATAATGCATAATGAATCAACATCGCAGACCGATGCTCTTAAAACGAAGTCGAAACCGTTTAAATATAACGAGATGAGAGTTTCAGCAAAATCGTTGGCGAAGGCTCAATGCTCGAAAACACAAACGGGAAGTCCTTACGAATTATATTTACAACAATCGCATAGTGATGTGCAAGAGGTGGAGAGTTCTGGATTGAAACAAGAGGGTTGGATTTGTCAGTGGTGTAACGAGTTATGTGACTCTGAGATCAAAATGAAGACACATCATAGTATGTTCCACTCGCATTTGCCATTAAATTTCAGGAAACAAGAAAAGACTGAAATGTCTCGAGGATACGTTTGTCCTGATTGTCCGTTCACCACAATGTTTCTTAATGTAATGAAGAACCACGTGTCCAAACATATAAACCTATTTAAATGTAAATACTGTGACAAGTCTTTCAGCTGTCCTTCGGAAGTCTCTACGCACAATAGCGAAGAACATCCTGGAATGGAACTAAAAATAGAAAGTATTCCGAATTATGAGTCTTTGCTAGAGGAAATGATGATTCAAGTGAAATGGCAGAAGTTTGAGCCGATTTCCGACAAAAACGAAAATTCAAACCCGTCAAGATCGGAATTACCGCGGAAAAACAATGCAGTTGCAAAAAAATCTACGACTAAAAGTGCATTTCGTCATAATGCAATACCATGCAGAATAAAGGCGGTAGCTAGAAAATCGACTAATCCACATTCGAGATATCTTATCAGTAACAGAATACAAGACAAGCAACAAGAGGCGAAAAGCAAACAGTTTTCCTATTACGGCGCTCCCAGAAGTCCCGTCAATTTAGCTAAGTTAAACACGTACATGGTAGTTGGGGGGCATCGAATGAAAGTAAACTGTACCACTCTTGCGCAGTTAATCAACATCAATCCGGAGATAATATTAGAAGATGTTAAGAGTAATATCAAAAACATCCCAGCACTTAAAAAATTGAAATAACAAATGGAAATATAGAAGGAAACTTATCGTTTTCCACATTATCGACGTTGTTTAATGTAATATAATGAATGGTATATAAATATTTATTGCGTGACTATTATTGGTACAATGATCAATAGTAACCAAAGTGACTCACGGTATTATACATGCTTTTCTGTGACGTTATACTTAAAAGATACTATAATAATCGATGAATTTTTGTAAAATTCATTGATTCTCTCGTCGTATTGTGATGAGTAATTGTAGATAATATCCTCACATTTGATCGTTTCATGGTTACATATTTTGTGCTTATATTCGTCATAAGTGTATATTTAAAAATTTTGAGAAATATGAAAAGAATGAATATTTGTACTTCCTGCAAGATTACGTTGCTCTTTTATAAGTTATCTTATTGCAGAATTGGAATTACATAAAAAGAAAAGGTTTTCATATGTACAAGAATTATATTTAATTATATTCAATGTAACAGCAATTTGCCATCTGGACTTTATCGATATTGTATATAGATATACTTTGCACATATATTTCTAAGTAAACACAATATAAAAATTTGTGAAATGGGGAAACAAATCGTGCCATGCTATAAGCTGGTAAAAATTATTCTGAAAATCAAAACGCAAAATTTTAACATGGAAACTGTAAATAAAAATGTATCAATATTTGTCTAATTGATGAATATTGAATTTATTTATTTTGGAATATGTAAAATCTCTTAGTATAGATATCTTGATTTTTTACGAATAATGATATCGTAATAATGTTATTTTTAAGTACTTACACTTAATGTTGAGCAGTTCTGTCATGTTTTATTAACTCGAAACATTTGTTAAACAATTTTCAGGAAATATTACACATGCATATATCAACTCAGGAATAATTAAACATGGTGAAATTAAATCTGAATCAAGAAGAACAATTTTTAAATGATATGTATAAAAAATTAATTAAGATTTGACACGTAAGATTTAACGTTTATCGATGCTGAAAAATCGTTATCGGCGGTAATAATAATAATAATAATAAAGTATTTACTCATTAACTTATTTTGATAAAACTTAGTTCTTGCTTTAGAAAAGTATCGGTAAATAAGAATTTTACGTGTTAATAAAATATGTAAAGCTTTTGTTGCACTGAGTTCTGTGCTCGAATTTTAAAATTAATCATTTAACATCGAATGTAAGATGAAAATACAAGACTGAGTGTCCTGTAAGTAGTTTAATTTACAAGAAAAATTGTAAATATCGTGAGATTGTAAATATAGAACTACACATAAATATTTTTGATTTTTATAATAACAGTGGTCATCATTTCTATTTTACATTCTTCACAACATAGTAATCAAAGTCTAAATATACGTCACCGTGAAAATGATATTTATACAAAGGATTATTTCATTCTTCTTTTTTATTTAAATCATTAATTGTACAAAGTTGTATTCGAAACTACCATTTTGCAATTCGAGATCATATATATCTCGATCAGTGATGGAAATTTCACAAATAATAAACGTTTTTATCATTTCCGAATTTTTTAATTTAAAAGTAGCATTTTTATTTATTACGCTGTGCAATTCTTTTGTTATTTAAAAGCATATAAAAACATAGAAATTATGCAGAAGGTTCAGTAGAGATCGTGCAAATACAATATTTAAATTAGATGAAAGAACCATAAAGTTATGAAGCGTTCGATCCGTGTGATTTAACCTTTCAGAGACGATAATCCTGCCCTCATAATTTCATCAACCAGGAGGAGATTACTGGCAATAATTGTGCTATAAATAAAAGTTAATACGTATTTGAAAAAAGATATGATACTGTCAAATTTCAATCTAAACAAGATTTTATAAATATATTTACCATGAATTAATAATTTGTTTCTTCACATTGTAATTATCATAAATACCAGCATCCGTGGGTTTCAATGCTTCACCTGAAGAAATATCTAATCCTACCGCTTCACCTAATGTGGACCTTTCTTCTAATAACTTAACAATTGTATCCTGTGCATCAAATCCACTATTTACAGCTAGATGGATAAAAAAATAAATATTAAGACATATGAAACGAAATAATTTTTGAAAGACAATTACTAGTTTGAAATATCTTATTTACCAAGAGTTTTTGGAATGACGAGTAAAGCTTCTGCATAAGCTTGTACACCCAAGCGTTGTTTTCCTTTCACTTTTTCTTTATACTGATGGAGTACTTGACTAGCAGCTACTTCGAAAGCACCAGCACCAGGAATAACCGCGCGATCATCAATAGCATTTTTAATAGCTCTTAGACCATCTCTTACAGCGTCTTTCAATTGCTCTAAAGTGTATTTATTTGGGCCCTACAAATTATCAAGTTGATTGAAGTTATTGAAAATTAAAAAAGATCATATAAATTTAGGAAATTAAATTTATTATCCTACCTTTAGCAGGATTGTTACGGAATTCGGTTTCTTGCATTCTTCAATAAATGTATATTTTGTCTCTCCCTATAAAAAAGATAAAAGTATGTTTTTCATTTTGTGTAAAATGTAATGATCTAGATATTGCATTACTTAAAAATTACTTACCAATACATGTTCGTATACAAGTCCGGCCCATCCTAAGTGTTCTTCTGTTAAGTCATCAAAGGAATTCATAGCTGTTCCACCACAGGCCAGTGCTAAACGTTCCATATTTCTACGTTTCGCTCTGCGCAAAGCCAAAATATTTTCCCGGGCAAGCATATCCAAGGATGGTGGGTCAATGCCTTTCTGATTTATGACGACGAACGACTTGTCCGTTCCGTCACATAATTTCTTTTTTAGTTCGATTATTTTTCTTACCCGATTATCGATGAATTCACGTTCTGCAGCTACCAATTTCTCGCGCTCTTCAGCAGTTTTGTAAAAGAACCCACTATTCACCTTCATAATAAATACAATTTCATTATTTAAAGGAGGGAAATATTTATATTTTACAGAAATGATTGATTCTTTTCCTAAATCACTTCATTTACCTCACTCTTTTCATATTCCAAACTAACATTGCAAGTTAGTATGTAAGCATTCTCTACTCTCTTAGGCATATCTGGATGTCTAGATCCATGGTCAGTTACAATACCACGAACTAAGTTAGTATCTGCTGCAGTTCTATGCTGCATTTCCATTAATTCAACCATATGGAGATCAATTTCTTGATCTTTCTGTCTAATAGTCAAAATTGCATCCACACAGACTTCTGTTAGTTTGTCAGCTACAGTAGGGTGGACTTTAGTTCTAAGCGATGTTCTAGCAATGCTCATTAGATTTTCCTTTGTGGGCTCAATCAGAATCTTCAAGGAGTCTAATACTTCCAAAGTTTTTACTCTAGCTAGTTCAAAACCTTCTGTGAGCATTCTAGGATGAAGACCCTCGGATATATAAATATCAGCTTGTTTTAGAAGCTCTCCAATGACTAATACTGTGCTAGTTGTGCCATCCCCAGTAATATCGTCTTGAGCAGTGGATGCTCTAGCAATCAGAGATGCTGTTGGATGTTGGATTTGCATTTCATGCAATAATACATTTCCATCTTTTGTGATTTTAATATCACCTGCTCCAGACACCAACCTTGAAAAATTTTGTATTATTGAATTTCAAAAAATGATTTGGTGATCAATTGTATATACAAAGAATTGAGTTATTAATTTCCATAATTGAGTTTCCAGATTGTTATTTCTCTGGTAAGATAACAAAATAGTATAAGTCAGAATTATTAGTTTTGCAGAAAAGCACATATAATATTCAAAATGCAATGTAAAATTAGGTATTAGATTTTGGATATACTATTAGCAACTTAGTTAGAAGAACGGGAAAGAAGTGAAATTGATTTATGCTATTAGAACCATAAACAAAAACAGTAATATGGAAAATGTAGAAAATATTAGATCATTCTGTCAATTATAGTTTGATTTATACTCCTTTCCTTGTCCACCAGAGATTTCACGGACATATCGATCTTACCTAATAAGGATAATATACTTAACTGCAATGTTTTAATGTAACAAGCAAACAGTAGTGGAAAGTATGAAATACAAAATAATTTTCGTAATTTTATACTCATAATTTTAATACTTCACTTTAATTTATTAAATAAATGATAAATTGTTAAATTAGCACGTGAGAATAAGTATACATACATCTTCATGGTGCCTTTCGGCCCAAGATTCGTTCTCATCACATCTTGAATTCCTTTTGCGGCCGATATATTGACAGCCAAAGCCTGAGCAGCTCTAGCAAACTCAGCTTTGGGATTTAACAAACTAATCGCTGCCATTTCACTAGATAATAATCAAAATTCGCGAAATAATAAACGTATCGTCTCAGCATGCAAGCTTCTACCAATGGCTTCAACTGTCTGAATAATACAGCATGTCAAGTAGCCGATGTTCAGATTCAACAATATAGGGATTTTCATTTCGTAACTTCCGAAAAAAATATAAATTTTTTCCATAAATTTTTTAATTCTCTTTGAAAATTGCAAGTTCATTTAAAAATCAATTAAAAAATGCTCAAAGCTATTAAATTTAAGAATATATCCAATTCATTGATATTTAAATACCGTTCTTTATTTAATGTTAAGTTGGTCTAGAACAATCTAAGAATGACTCAAAAATTTACTTAAATTCATATATTTACATAAGGATTTTCCTTTTTCCCAAGCGATTGTCTTTTTTAAATGTTTAGCTCTATTTTAAAGTTTTATTTCATTGTTGGAATGATATTTTTGAATAATTTTTTGAAGATTGTTTTAGTTATAGCATGTGACGTTTTTGGCAATCATTTTGATATGAAAAGATTACATCACAGGCGAAAATACTATGATGAGATAAAAAAGTAACCTTAAATAAAATTGTACAATATTTTCATATTTTTAACATAACTGTTATAAACATAAAAGATGTTTAAAATAAATGTTATATGTGTAAAGTCATGTAAGACTGTTAATACAATAGGAATATTATTATGTGAGTTTTTTTCTTGTTCCAATATTTGTATTTATCTAGAATGTTATTATTGTATTATATTATTATGATATTTATTTATAGTATTCATTGATTTTTATCAATATATAATATGAATTATTATTATTAAAGATAGATCATATACATCAGATTTTGCATTTGTCCCGAAATGTGAACCTGTGAAAGACAGAGATTTGTTGATGTTAAAGGGTTTTATCAATAGTCACAGTAATATGTGCATATTAACAGGAGCAGGAGTATCCACAGAGAGTGGTATTCCTGATTATAGATCCGAAGGCGTTGGCCTTTATGCAAGAAGCAATCGCAGACCAGTTCTTTACAAAGACTTTTGTAACAGCGCTGAGATTAGAAGGCGATATTGGGCTCGAAATTATATAGGTTGGCCTAGGTTGTAATTTTTCTTGATTAGAACTACAATTATAAAATGATATGCAAAAGTTTGTAATAATTTTAAAACATTCATTTCATAGATTTTCTTCTGTTAAAGCAAATATTGTGCATGAAATACTAAAAAAATTAGAGGATCATAACAAAATAAGATGTATCGTTACACAAAATGTTGACAACTTGCACACAAAAGCAGGCAGCAAAAAAGTGATAGAGTTACATGGGACAGCATTTAAAGTAATGTGTCTCAACTGTAATGAAAGAATATGTAGATATCAATTGCAAGAAATCTTAGATAGAATGAATCCAAACATGGCAGGGACTAGTGAAATGATAAGACCCGATGGAGATGTGGATATATCACAAGTAAATGTTATAAATAATTTAAGAAGTTCAGGGATAACCTAAGAAATTTTGATTTAAATGATTCATTTTAATTCAGGAGCAAGTAGAAAGATTTAAAATTCCACCATGTGGAAATTGTGGTGGTGTTCTTAAGCCAGACATGATCTTCTTTGGGGACAATGTCCCACGTCAAATTGTAGAAAGTGTCAGATATAATGTTGAGCATTCGGATTCTCTACTAATTTTGGGTACAACACTTACTACATTTTCTGGCTATCGAATCGCGTTGCAAGCTAGCGATGCTAAAAAGCCAATAGCTATAGTGAATATTGGAAAAACCAGAGCGGACGATCTCGCGGAAATCAAAGTGGAAGGTAGATGTGGCGATATTTTATCGAGAATTTACTCAATGATTGATCAACATGAGGAATGTATGGAATGTTAATTAATAGACTGCGGATTTTTATGCATTTTTAAAGAATTTAAAATTACAAAAACGCACATAATGTGCAAAAATATACAAAATAATTAAAGTATAATATGTATTATTTTTATTATTTATAAAAATACCAATTTGCATAAAAATTCGCAATTCATTGATTAAGTAGAAGTAATGTGAATAGTTCTTTTCATATTGTTTTACATCTTGGCTGTGATTACTTTAGATTAATCTATGTATAATGTACAAATAAAACATCTTTTTCCAACAAAAAATTTTTTGTACAATACTTTATATAATATTCTACTTCCTTTATAGAAGGTTTGATTCTAGTATTGTTGAGATTTTAGAAATGAAGATATTTGTCTTCATCAAAAGAATATAATTATTTTTTTTCTTAAGTCTTGTTTGTCTTTACCATCTATCCATAATTTTTTAAATTGTTGTTACTTCCGTATCTAGTAGATAGCAGCACACAACTTGTCCATAAACAAGGATAGCAATAGCGTGCGACAAAAATATATATATATACTCGATACGGACAAGGGAGCACAATAGATGCGACTAATAGTGTATACATAGATGTGTATACAAGCATAGCAATAACGATTAGTTCCACCTTTTCACCGCTACGTGGTGATAGTGTTTCAGCGTCCACAAGAAAGGTAACTAAAAGGATTAATTTGTGAACTTTTGTGATTATGTCTTCCGAATTAGACAACTGTCTTATTAAATTCCTTTTAACCTACGAAATACATGTATAAAGATTTACAGATTTTATTCAACGAATCGAAGCATTAGCTGAAAGAGTATATATTTACATATCGATGTACCTAGAGATGTACCTTGTAGATTGCAACGCTTTGTGATTAGTATATCAGTTACAGGTGGGATTATTACATTTTGTTATTAACAAAATGTCGTTAGCAAGGTTAGTTTTTGATAATTATTCTATAATTATTTTCTTATTACGTGTAGAATACCGAATTATATAATTTTTGTATTATACGGTGCAGTATAATATAGAATTTTCTGAGTCATGTATTTTGATATATTTTGCGTATTTTGATATAACCTGACGCGTACTTGTTAAACAAAGCAAATGACGCAACTGTATCTGAATTTGTGTGATTATTGTAGTTATTCGCTGTTTGCAAATGTTTTTTATATTTTTGAGTGTATTACTTATATTTATTTGTATTTTAATTCATAAGAATATTTATAAAGTGTTTCTGTTATAGCTTATTACCTACACCATCTCAGGTCGTGTGGGATAGAGAAGATGAAGCAAGGGAACAGAAATTACGACAGAGACCTGTATCTGCTCTTGTCAAAGCTGTTGTTACTGCTCCACCATATGGCCAACGTAAAGGATTTGTACCAAGAAATCCAGAAGTAAGTGATTTTATAACTAACTAAGTATAATCCTCTATTTATCTATAATAAATATAGTGTATTTGTATATAATAATATGATATGCAATAATATCCAGTGCTGAATGTGTACAATAAATGAATGTTTTTGTATTTTTCATTTCGAATTGTTTATATAAGTCTCTAAAGATTCATATTAACTGTGCAGGATTTTGGAGATGGTGGAGCATTCCCAGAGATTCATGTAGCCCAATATCCACTTGGGATGGGAATGAAGGGAAAAGAAACCACTAGTAATGCTTTAGCAGTACAGCTTGATGCTCAAGGAAAAGTGAAATATGATGTTGTTGCTAGACAAGGCCACTCTAAGGATAAGGTAATTTAATTTACATCAATAATACTATTTAATTGCGTAAACATTTGCATTTGGTTTATTTTTGCTTATATTATGTTCTCTTATAGATCGTGTACAGCAAACTGAGTGACTTATTACCTTCAGAAATTACAAGTGAGGAAGATCCTAGTTTGCAACGTCCACCCAATGAAGAAATTGATGAACTCACAGAAAAAACTAAGAAGGCTTTAGAGAAGATAACAAGATCAAAGATAGCTGCAGCAATGCCAGTAAGATGCGCGGAGAAACAAGCTCCTGCGCAATACATTCGATATACACCTTCCCAACAAGGACAATCATTTAATTCTGGGGCTAAACAAAGGGTTATTAGAATGGTGGAGGCTCAGATAGATCCTTTAGAACCACCAAAATTCAAGTGAGTTTCAACATTATGAATTTGCTTGGGACTAAGCACCAAATAAATTATATTTTAAATATAAGTTATGTTAACTATGTTGTGAATAATATAGTATCTTTTAATTGTAGAATTAATAAAAAAATACCGCGAGGTCCTCCATCACCACCAGCGCCTGTGATGCACTCGCCTACGCGGAAAGTAACAGTAAAAGAACAGAAGGAGTGGAAAATACCGCCCTGTATTAGTAACTGGAAAAATGCGAAAGTAAATAGGTTTTTTTAGTTCGTAATTGATTGATATTTTACTAACGAAGATTTTTTCAGGGATACACGATCCCGCTCGATAAACGACTAGCTGCAGACGGTCGTGGGTTGCAACAGGTTCACATAAATGAGAACTTTGCTAAGCTGGCTGAGGCTCTTTATATAGCAGATAGGAAAGCTCGAGAGGCGGTAGAAATGCGAGCACAGCTTGAGAAGAAACTTGCCCAGAAGGAAAAAGAGAAAAAAGAGGACCATCTGAGACAACTAGCGCAGAAAGCTAGGGAAGAACGTGCTGGTTTAAAATCAGCAGCAATGGGTTCGTATATGCATTCTGTGCACTTACATAATCATACAAAATCATCTATAATCTTGACTATTTTTAAGTATTTAGAATACATTTAATATCGTGTTATATCGTAATACAGTGTTTAATAGTGTCGTGTTTTTTGATATTACATAGAAAAATCGGAGGAGTCGCGGGAAAGAGATCAACTCAGGCAAGAACGACACAAGGATCGTGCTCGAGAGCGGAATTTGGCGCGTGCTGCACCTGATAAGCGTTCTAGATTGCAACGCGAACGAGAACGCGACATCAGTGAACAGATTGCACTCGGTTTACCAGCAAAGAGTATTCCTAATACCGGAGAAGCACAGTTTGACCAAAGATTGTTCAACACTAGCAAAGGAATGGATAGTGGTTACGGGCATGATGACGAATATAATGTTTATGATAAGCCCTGGAAAGATTCTAACTCTATCGGCTCTCATATATACCGTCCTAGTAAAAATATTGATAAAGATACTTACGGAGATGATTTGGAAAAGCTTGTTAAAACGAACAGGTATTTGTTTGATTATTTTAATACAATTATATCAATGTATTGTGTTTCAATTAATTAACTTGACAAGAATTTTTAAAGATGTTTAAGAAGTTATAGAGAAGAAAAATGTTTTTGGAATAAGTGTTCTTATATCAACATGTTTCTATTGTAATTTTAGATTTGTTCCGGATAAGGAATTCAGCGGAACTGATAGATCAACGACACGCTCAGGACCAGTACAGTTCGAGAAGGATGAGGAAGATCCTTTTGGTTTGGATCAGTTCTTGAAGCAAGCCAAGCGTGCGAGCAGTTCTACTACCACAACAACAAAACGCAAAGACGAGCGGGAACAACGGAGAGACGATCGCGACAAACGAAGGAAACATTAACTTTCTTTGTTGTTTATCTGTTCTTATTATTTTAGAACAATTTTCCTTTTTTTAATGTTATATAAGTTAGCTTTAGATTCAAATAAATGAAGCTTAAAATTAGTCGTTTCGATCACTTTGATAATCTAATTAGTGATTGGTTTTACAAATACGATACAGATACAAAACATCCAAACAAGTATAAAATGCCTTACAATTTTTAAAAATGGTATTCATTTTTAATTATTCACACTGTGCTGAGAAAGAAGTGAACTTTTACAAAAAAAATGAAAGGATGTATACAAACTGATTGAAATTGCTAAATATATCGATTACTTAGTATAATAAACAACAAGAAATGTTATATTCTATTTTCTTCCCGATGGTTATTTATGTTATGTTTCATTTTATAAGAGTGAAGTTGGTTAGAGTTACGTTTCAGACTCATAGTTCTTTATTAACACAATGTGCATACAGCGTTCGTTAGATTAACAAAGGTGGCGATACTTTCGCACGGGGAGCGATTGTTATTTCTAAATTAATAACGTAGTTACTTACTTTCTCATCAAATATTTTTTTTTCATCAAATGCGTTTATCGACACCGTTTTTTTTTTGCTTGTCGTCATTTTTCGAAGATCGCGTCAAATTTGATTAAATCTAGTCACCGTAAATTCGCGAATAATTCATGGTAATGATGTTACGCAATGTTGTATTGCTTTAATGTTGCATGATCATTGTTTACTACTTATTCTCGTCATCTCCAAACTGCTTTTTTTCTTTCTTTATTTTCTGTATCTAAGTAAATCATCCTAATGAAACTTTATACTGTCATAGTGTCTACTTTGGTACCCACTAGTTTTATTAAGAGCCAGGCTGAAATTTATATCTTTTGCTTATTATATAAATATAATGTATATGTATGAGATCGTGCAAGAAAACTTCCATATAATCCAGTTAAATTGCTTAAAGATGTTGTAAGATGTAGGATGATTGTACATAAGGGACAGAATTTGAAAAACAGTATGACTACAAACAATCAAAAAATCTAGTGTTCTCCTCGTCTCCGTCCAAAAAACGGATGTTGATGTCCGTCTTCGTCGTTTCTAAATAAAGATGACTACGCATACGATTTATAGGAATCAATCATTTATAGGATCATTCGTGAGAGCTTTTATGATGCTTATTTCATCTTTCTTTTTTAGTTTTTCATGAATTTTCTTGTAGATACGGCGACTTAGAAGATGGTCTTTCTAATCAGTCTTTTCTTATTTTTTTTTTTTTTTCATTCGTAAGAAGCTTATCACAGAAGAATTTCCGTATATTGATCATCTTTCTTTTCATTTTTTAAATTTCGGGAATCTGAACGAGCATTTGTTTCATCGTTCACGCAAATTGACGCGATCCTTTGTTATATTAGACTGACCTCACACTTTTTATTGTAAACCACATTCTTAAGAACTACATCAAGGTTTTTCTGACAAAGTTTTATGGAATTATTTTCTCTCTCTCTCTTTCGCTCTCTCCCTCGCAAACATTACAGCATAACCGGAGAACTCTCCTGATGAGAAAGACTAGAATTAATAACGCTGAAGACTACGGACTTGTTACGGATCCATGGGAGCCTATGTACAATTAGGATGAACACTTTGCCAACTATTCATAGTTACGTTCGAGTTCTCTCGGTTTTGTTTCCTTCAGCTGTAAACGACGCATATATACTTGGCGGAAGAGATATAGCGAGGTTATAAATTTAATTATCAATTAGCGACATCGATTGATGTAATTGCGTCCAACGTTGTACGCATTTTATAGAAGTACCTCGAATCTCAGGCCGTGAAAGTCATTAATAGATTACGGATTTTTATGCTTTATACTTTTATGAACACAATTATAGAAATGGAATCTAAGCAAAGATTTGTTTCACTCGAGTACTTTACTTTAGATATTTTGTATATTTTTGCATGTTACATCCATTTTGTACATTCCTTCATTTTCAGAATTTCCATAAATACATAAAAATTCGTAGTTTAGTCATTAGTGATGTATAAAATTTTTTTATATATGCATTATGTGAAAAATAGCAAACTGCATATGTTTAGAATTTACCTTTCAAATTTTATGCTATACACAATTTTTCATAAATGTTCTATAAAAGGAGAACAGTTCCACAT